GGGCATCCCACCCCTAGGCTGGAGCTGGACCCCGCAAAAGCAGCCTTATGCCTAACAGCCAAAAACGATATAGCCCAAATGTCCGTCAGCAGGTGGGTTTAAACAAAATAGGAGTATATTCATATGATGCTATACTATACAGTACAATGCCACTCAGGAATAAAACGTAATCAACTGATCTATGAACAACATGAAGGGATCTCAAAAGTATTATACTAAGTGAAAGAAGACAGACACCATAGATTACTGTATTAGTCATCCATTGCCACATAACAAATTGGCACAAGACGTGGTAATAAAACAATGCAGTATTTCATTAGTTGCAGGTGAGGGTCCCTGGCTCGGCCTCTCACAAAGCTGCAGTCAAGATGCTGGCCAGGGTCGCATTCATCACGTGGGTCAGTGGGAGTGGCACCCACTTCCCAGCTCACTCTGGCTGTGGCGGGAGGCAGCTCCTTGCCCTCCGTTGGACTAGGCCCCCAGTTTCTCACCTGGCGAGCCCCTGGCCACATTGGCTCACAACATACAGTGGCCTTCAACGTGAGCAAGCAGGCAGTGCCATCGAGATCAAGGCGGTCTTTGACAAGCTGACGTGGGAAGTGGTGTCTTACCACTTTTTGTTGGAACTAGTTACCAGGTCTAGACCCCAGGCCAGGGAAGGGGGTTGCACAACGCCAGGGGCAAGTGTCATAGGGAGCCATGTCAGAAAGCTGCAGGCACCAACCTCTACTGTGTGAGTCTGTTTATACGCTATTTCAGAAACACAAAGCTAGAGTGGCAGAGAGCAGACACCAGTGTTTACTCGGGACCAGGGCTGAGGAAGGAGACTGACCCGACACATACCTCACAGCCCAAAGTATACGCTCAGAACCAGTGAGCTTTACTGTATGTAAGTCACATCTCAGTGAGGCTGGTTTTAAAAATTAAATTAAACCTAGACTCCAGGTCCCAACCTGACAGGCCGTGTGATCTGGTCCCTGCCTGCCTTTCTCACTCCCTACATCCCAGGAGGTACTTGTCCAGGCCAGGCTTCCGGGAGTGAACTTGCTGGATGCCCCCTGCCTCAGGACCTTTACCCTTTCTGTTCTTGGCCTGGAACGCTTACTGCCTCTTGACGTGGCTGCTTTTCTCCAGAAGGGATGGGATGTAATTTGAGTCTCAGCTCCAAAGTTATCCCAGAAAGGTCTTTCCTGACCACCTTGGCTGAGGGTCCCCACCACACTTACTCCTTATTTTTGTATTTTGCTTAAATGCCTTCTTAGCTCCTATTACATTTGAAACCATCTCTTTGTTTACTCACTGACTTCCTGTCTTCTCCCTTCTAGAAGGTGAGCTCAGTGTGGGTGGGGACCCCTTATTTCTTATTCACACCCAACATAAGGACCAAAACTTGGCACATAAGATGAAAGTTCTGTAAGTATTTGTTACATGAATATTGATCTGTGTAGGGGCCTTTTCTGAGGAAGTTTAATGAAAGCCTCCAAATATCAAATGTAGAAAAGATGACAGCAAATCTCCTGCACTTATTTCTCAAGCATCCTCTGCAGAGGCTCAGCAACCAGGAGCGGAGAGATGCTGGGGGACCAGGTCTTCTCCCTCTAGAGCCCAAGAGCAGCCTGACAGATGGTCCAGGGGTGCAATCTGCTGCTCCCAGCAGCCCTGTTCAGGACTTCCCATGCTGTGGAGTCAGTCTCTCTGTGTCTCAAGCAGAAGGTTTTTCCCACTTGGTTGACAGCCCTTTTGTCAGGAATGTTAATTTGTGTTTAACATTTTCTATCACATGAAAGAATTCACACTGCAACTTAAAAAAACATAAAAATATGAGAATAGAATTCTGACTCGTCCACATTAAGCATGAGCAATTGGACGTCTATTTAACGTGTGTAGAGAACATTCTCTCAGTGGCCAAGTTTGATGGTTTATTGGTTCTCAGGGCCTTGATTACTAAAAACAGCAACAGAGCTACGCCCCGCCTCCTGGTGTACTGGCAGCTTTTGTTCGAGCAGACGGTTGAGCCCAGGCTGCTACATGTATTTTGCATTTGATCCTTTTTGCCAAGTCTCCTCTGCTTCTCCAAATGAATGAATTCCACTTGAAAATCATAGGATTAATAAATACATTCTAAGCTCAAGAAAATTATTCTCTGTGTCACTGCCATTTCCTGTTTGGTGCCTTTTCCCAGGAAAATAAATGAAGCAACCTCAGAAATGCATCAGGCAGGGATTTTAACTCTAGGCAGCGCAGCCCCTCCTACCGCATCCCTGTGACTCACCTCCACCTCCTGGGGCCATCCGGCTGCTGGGACGGACTCAGGCCAGCTCTCCGCCCAAGCTTGGTGCCGTCCCTTCCCATACACCTGGCAAAATGGTTACCAGGAAGAAATACTGCAAAGAAGGCCTCACACTGATGACCTTGAGTCAAGTAGACGAGCAGACCCTACCTGTGTGGTTTTTCCAGGTGCCAGGGAAGTGTTGTCTTTGACTCCTGGGGTCTAACTAAGGAGGCAGAGGTTTCCTACCTCCCAGGACCAAATGCATGATTGTCCTGCTCGCTGCTGTATGGGAGAGCATAACACCTCCCTGCACTAAATAGAAGAAAGAGACAGTAGCCACTACCCTGAGCTTGTAACCAGCAGGCTCTGCATGGATCCTGCCTGACGGAGAAGCACCGTGTTACATGCCAAATAAGCAAAAAGGTAGCAGATGGGCAAGCTAACTAGATGGATAAGGAGTAAATGCCTTAGGTTTGACACTCAAGCTTCTTTCCACCACTCCCCACTGCCTGCTAAGGCCCCCGTCCCGCACCAAGAAAGGGGATAGGATGGTCCAGGTGTCTGGGTGAAAAGCAGATGGCATCTGAAACAGAGCGCCTTCCACGGACAGAGACCCATCCTTCTTATGGATTGTGAAAGCTTCACTGAAGTCGCCCTTGGAGGGTGGGGTTCTCCCTTTCAAAAAATAGCAACAGCAATGTAATAAACACAGGGGTAACCTGCAGAAGGGAGCAGCCTGAGCCCCTGCAAGTTAGACGGTTGCGTTCAGTGGAAACAGACTGTTATCCCGTGGAAGAGGGCTGGTTCTTTTTAACAGAGTCCTGAGGGAGCCTCTGGCTACTCTCTTACCCTCCTTCTGAATAAATCAAAGCCAGGAAAAACTACCTCCCTGAGGCCACACGGTCACTGAGGAACTGAGCTGGGACTAGGACCCAGACCTCGGACTCAGGAGCATTTCCCCATTTCTCAGAGGGAGGAGAGGAGAGGGCTGCTCCCACTTCTCAGGTGGTTCACGGCTGCATCATGAGGTGCACCGTATCGGCTGGTGGCTGACCTTGCAGGACCAAGGTCGTGGCTTCTTCTTGACCTTTGGTGGGGCTGCCCGCAGTCGGCTTTCCCTGCTCTGGGGCAGCTGGAACCCATCTGGGTGGGGCTGAAGATGAGGGCGGGAGCCCCACTCGTTACACATATAGGCAGAATGCAAACGCAGTTTAGAAGTGGACACAAACTCATTCTCAGGGAACTTGGAGAAGGAATAATGGAGACCCCCATTCTTCAGATTCAAAAAATCCAACTATGGACAATACAGGGCCAAAGGAGGACTTGTGGGTGTGGGGAAGAAAGGAAGCATTTTGACTGAAGGCTGGTGACCATCCTGGCGTTCAGGAGAGCCGCAGCCAGGGACACCCCTGCACAGCGAGGGGATGTGTGAGTCTATTGCATGCAGGCGGCTTCTGCACCTCTCTCTCAAGTCAAGGTTTTGAAACGTGCTTCCCTTTGGGGCTCCAGAAAGGAGAGATTCGATGCCACCAAACAAACAAGCGATGGCTGAAGTGCTCACCTAGTATGGGTCTGCAGGGAAAGTCCAAGAGTACTTTCATGATCATAGAGGGAGTGAAAGAGATAGCAACAGAGGGACTGACTGAAGTGACTCAAGGTCAACACTGTTTCTCAGAGGCCGTCAGCACCTATATCTTCTCTGATAATGAAAGGAGAGTCAGTGAACCCAGCTACAGTACTGGGATGGACACCTGGACCGGCACAAAGTCCACAGCTCAGGACCGAACGGCAGGAGGTGGAGTCCCGAGCAGTCGGGCTGCGGCCGTGTCCTCTCCGCTGGCTTTTGGAGGCCCAGCCTGTGTTTGTTTTCTCATTAAGCACCTGTTATGTGCCTGAGTCTTAGACATGAGGGGCAGTGTGAAGAAGCAGGCAGACGAGGTCCCTGTTTGAGTGTGGGAACAATATGAGTACTACTTGCGGACACTCACAGCCCCTGCCCTGCGCCAGCCATGCTCCGGACACTTCCTCAGTGGATCACCTCCTTGGGTCTCCCAACAAGCCTGTGTGGAAGGACATGCGGGGATGAGGCCATGCCCCAGAGGCTTGTGCAGAGCACACACACGCAGAGGTGCAGCGGGGAGCAGGTGGAGCTCAGTGTTTGCGTACCCAAAGGGCCTGCGGAGGACCCCTCAAAGGAGGCATTTCCTGACTGGCTGTCTTCAAACCCCCCTTACTGGCTTTAGGAAAGATGCCTGGGAACAGCCCACTCCCCATTCTTGGCACTTGGGATTGGGCTGGAAATGCCCAGCAGCAAAGCCCTTTCTACCCTTGCGTCCACCTGCCCCCCACTCAGGCCGGCGTCCACTCTTCCAGGGGGCTTAACCCCTCCAGGACAAATTTGCCCATGTGTACGTGTTTTCATGGGAAGTTCGCCTGATTTTCAGTCCAGGAATGAATAAATGAGACTGAAGCATGGTCAAAGTTTGTGATCAGCTCTTCAGGGAAGTTGTGCGGAACTTTACTTAAAAGAATTAAAAGACAGCCTGCCGGGGCCCTGACTTTCCCAGCCCTTGGCCGGGTGGAGGGCACATGCGGTGGTTGGAACCCAGCCATCTGCAGTGCCCCTCAACGCGGTGTGGACAGGTGCGATGGAGCCTGACCGGGCCAGCAGGGCAGCCACGGCGTCCTGCGTCCAGCCCTGCGGCCAGCGGAGCCGCAGTGGCGCGCGTCCCGTCCGCCTCCTGCCACCCGGCGGTGGGTGGGCAGAGCTGCTCTGCGAGGCGCGGCCGCTCCGGCTTCGGCCCTGCTGCAGGCAGGAAGGAGGCTTTGGGAAGTTAGCTGCTGGCGGGGCGGCCCCCCAAGCGAGTGAAAGGGTGCTGGCGCCCTCCCTCCGCCCCTGCGCTGCCCACCAGCTCCGCGGGACCTGTGACCTCCACAGACAGCGTCGGGCAAGCTCTGCCCTCGGGGACGAGGTTGTGCCGCGCCTGTCGGTCCAGGCGCCCGGCCGGCACGGGAGGCAAAGGCCACGAGGGTCGTGCGCGCCAGGGTTGCCCCTGGGGCAGACTGGCGGCCAGAGATGGGATGGGCAGTGACGGGCGCCACGGCCCGGGAGGCGGCGCGGCCAGGAGGGAGGAACGGGCCGCGGGCGGGAGTGCGGAAGGCGGGGCGGCAGCCGGGGGCGGCTCCGGGCTCCGGGCTCCGCGCTCCGTCCGCCCTCGCGCCCGCGCCGCGCGCCCCCAGGTCCCGCCCCGCCTGTGCCGCCGCCGCCGCGGCCAAACAACTTCGCGAGCGCCCGACACCGGCCGGACTCGGCGTCGTCCAGGTTCAGCTCCGAGCGCCGAGGCCATGGACGCGCTGGCCTGGCTGCTGGCCCCGCTGCTGCTACTCTGCGCGCAGCAGCACCGCGGTACCAGGTGAGCGCGCGCCGGCCCGCGCTGCGCCGGGGTCGCCCTGGGGTGGGGGTCCCCCGGGCTCCATCCGCACCCCACCCCCGCGTCTACTCCGGGCTCCATCCCCACCCCGTCTACGACGGGCTCCATCCCCCCGTGTCCACCCACATCCGCCACCTTGATCCCCGACCCGCGCGCCCCCCTCGGCGCTGGCCGCCTCGGGTGCTGTCCGCCGTCCGGGTGCTGAACCTGCCTCGCGGGCCAGGGCGAGGGAGCCAGAGCCGCTCCAAATTCTCCCCAGAGCCTTGAGAGCGTGGTGGGCTTCAGGGTCCTCTGTCCCAGCGGCTGGCTGGTGCCCTTCCAGGGGCAGGCTGAGCGCTCAGCGCGGCACGGGCTGCAGGAGGAGGGGAGGAGGGAGTGGGAACACGGGGGAAGGAGGCTGTTCTGTCTCCCGTGGGAGCAGAGCCGCGTGGATGAGCTTGCCATGCTCTAGCGGCTGTGGGGTGGGCAAGAAGGCACCTCCTGAGGCTGTGGATGGCCGCTAGAGAGTGGTGGCCAGGACCCTGGGGGTCTCCTTTCGGGGCCCATTTCAAACGGCTGAACTGCAGTCTGCAGGTGGGAGGCAGCCAGGTGCTCCTGGTAGTGCGGAGGACTCAGGATTTCCTCCTAACTGTGGGAGAGACGAGGAGGGTCCTGTCTCCCCAGGAAAGGAAGACACTAAGAAGAAAGATCCCCCTGGGCGGGGGGCTGCCTCCCTCTGGCTTCCAGAGACCAGCACGGTCCCAGCTGGGGACTTGAGGTGGACTCCTGGCCACCCAGCATCATGAGCACAGAGCCTGGCCACTTTCCATGGGGGTCGTGCGGCCCTTTTTGAAAACCATCTCGGTGCAAGGGCTGCAGAAAACAGAGCAAAAACAGGCCCCTCAGTGTCCGGACTTCGTGGTCAGTCAACTGATGTCAAAGAGAAACTGGAAATGTTTGGGCAGCAGCCAGTGTTTGGTGGCGGGCCCTCAGGCGGCATGTGACACAGCGGGGAGGTTGTGTCAGGGTTTCCTTCTTGGTGGGGTCGGGGCAGAGGAAGGAAGGCCTGGGCCCAGCTGTACAGGTGGCCAACAAGCCCAGGGTCTGGGGCAGTGCTGATGCGGCCCCATCCTCGGGAGGGCTGTGTTCTTTTGTTGATCTCAAGGGCCTTTCTCCTTTTCCTACTTCAAGGTAACAGGAAGGTCAAAGTGTTGAGGCACGGCCATAGACGTACGTGCTGGGCCTGGGTTCAGCTGCTGGCCCAGGCCCACAGCCCTGCAGATGTGATTCTGAAATCCAAGCTGCTCTGAACCCCAGAGTCTTAGCCCACATTTGACACCAAAACTCATTTGGCAGCAAAGCCTGTCCTGCTATGACATGGGGCTCATTTTGTCCTTAATCACCCTACTTTTTGGGCCTATTTATATATTTCCTGTGAAGAAATTTCCCAGACCCCACTCCCAAGTCCATGTGTGCACCATGTCGCCTTTCTAAAATCTGAAACATTCTGAACTCTGACCCCCATATAGTGTTGGGTGACGGACACGCCTGCTTGCCTGTGATGAAGGCTGGAAATCTGGAAGGCACAGCCCCAGCTGGGAGGAGACTCCCTGGACTGAGCAGGCTGCGGCCAGTGGCCCTCTGACAGTGCAGTGCTGTCCATCAGGGGGCCTTTCTCCTGTCAGCTTCTGGGTCCCTCCACTCCAGAAACCAGAGGACACCATCCGTCCCTGATTCAGTCCTGGGTCCTCACCCCCAGATGGTATGGGAGCACAGTGGTGTCTGTTCTGTCTGCTGCTGCTCAGCCCAGATCCCAGGATTCCTGGTGGGAAAGGCAGCATCTGTGGATCAGGTCAAAGCTGAGTCTTCCCTGAGTCTGAAGATCCGCTTGTGCAGCGGGCACCCGGGCTTGCCAGCAGTACACCCGAGTGGGTGTGCTCTCCGGGCTGCTGGCACTGCCGTCTCCCAGGAGAAGATCCTGCCTCGCAGCTCACCGTGTGATGGTGGTGGGGTTCCTCTTTGCCTTGGCAACCAAGGTGCCTGGGTGGCTGGTGCTGTGCTAAGCAGAGCTGCCAGGCAGCGTGGGCTTGTGTGCACGAAAGGATGCAAGGAGGAGGACCCCACGGCCTTGCTCAGCTACACCTACCTTCCCTTTCTGTTCCCAGGGGCACAGACAAGTGACAGGGCTTGGCTTGTTTCTCAGGGGGGCCAAGAGAGGGCGAGAGCAGTGGGGCAGAAGCTGCTCGTGTTTTCAGTGCCTCAGGGTGTGAGCCTAGCATCTGTCTCTGGGCTGCTGTCCATCCACGCAAATGGAGCCCCACGCAGGCCACCACTGGCTTCCAGGGCCAGCGGATGCGTCAGAAGCTCTCTCTGAAGGTGATGGTCAGAGTCACCACGTCCTTAGCTCGTGCTCAGCTCCCGCGGACTCACCCACCCTGTAGCCCGCCCACCCAGCTAACCTCCTGCCTGAACCTGGGGAGGAGAGTAGGCCCCCACATTCCCTCATAGCTGGAATCCACCCCGTCCTAGATGAGAGGTGACGTGGTGGGGGGCGAGGAGCATGTTCCCTTTCCCCCATGAGAGACGGCAAAGGCTATGGAGTCTGCTAGCGTCCTGACACTGCAGGGAGAGCTTCATGGCAGGCGGCCGACCCTTGGCTTTGCCTCTGTGTGTGGGAGGGGCAGGCACCAGGCCGAGGGAAGGCACGCCTGCCCAGGCCACCACCCTAGGGCCCAGGAAGGACAGTGTCTCCGACGGCCTGCTTCCGGGCAGGCTGGCTGCTGCAGTGAGGTGGCAGCTGGGCCAGTCCGAAAATAGGCCTAACTGAGTCCCCATACCTCCGACCTTCAGGTGACCTCCATTGGTGTTTTAAATTGTGCTTTCATTGGGGCAAGAATTCATTAAAGTCCTTCTTATACTTTGTCACCAAAACACCGGCTCTGTCCCTGCCTTGGATGGGAGGGACAAGGTGGCCCCGCAGGGCAGACCAGGAGTTTGCAAGTTTCACGAGCTGAGGACTCCTGTTCAAAATGCAGCCTTTTCTCCAAGGCCAGTACGTGACACAGGTGAGGTCCCTGGCACCCCCACCCCCTGCTGTGTCCCCAGCCCAGGCAGCCCCAGAGGGCTCTGGAGCTCACCTGCCAGTGCAGTGGGGGGGGCATGCATCCGGCTGGCCACCCAGTCTCAGCAGCAGGGCTCCCATCCACTGCCACTCCCACAGTGAAGCCAGAGCCCAGTTCCCAGTGGGCACCCTGCCTGGGCCAAGCCCATTGCCTCAGGGGTGCCCTCCTACCTCCCTCCACAGCGCCTTCCAGTTCTTTGCCCGCTGTGACACTTCCCAGTGCCACCACAACCGTGCCTTCCCAGCGGGAGCCGGGGCAAGAGCTCACCTGTCCAGGACCCCAGCTCAGGTGCCCCACGAGCTCTCCACGCTGCACCAGCCTCCCGCTGTCCCCTGGCCACCAGAGGCGCCACCCCCGGAATCTCACTTCCCTCCCACCTCTCGGCTCCAGGGTCACCTTCCCGGGGAGGCTGTGCCTTCCGGCCCCCGACCCAAGCCAGGGGGCCCGGCTTCCCTTTCTGTGACCCATCACACTGGAAGCCACTTGCTTCGTCATTTCTCACAGACTCCGACCTTCCCGTAGCCTGGGCTGTGACCGTCCTAGTCATGGTGTCCTGACTTGGCACCAAGGGGACAGTCGGCTGACATTTGCCAGATGGGCAATAGATGAATGAGTATTAGGACCAACATCCTGAAGGGGCCTGGAGCTGCGCCTCAAGTCAGGACCAAGAGAGAACTGGGGTGGGGATCAGTGTGAGGAAACAGGGCCAGCTGACAGGGGTCCTGGAGGGTCAAGCAGGTGTCCCAAACGGGAGGGAGTCAGGGAACAATCGCCACAGGTCTGGGCACAGGTGGGGCTTGCCACGATGGCCGTGGCAGGCAGGCAGGGAAGGGATGGTGATAGGGGCCTGGGGAAATCTGGCTCTGGAGGAGCTGGGGGCATGGGGCATGGGCTGCAGTGCCATGTGGTGCTGGCCAAGGGTCTGGGCGTGGATGCTGAGCCAATGGGCAAAGTGGGAGCAGGAGCTGGGTGCGAGGCTGCAGCTGGATGGGAAGACCGCCCCTGGGGCAGCAGGAGGCCAGGGGAGCCTGGGCCCTGGCAGGGAGCGGCCAGCACAGCACGGTGGGATAGGATGCACCAGGGCACGGCCGTCTTCTCGTGGTGGCAGGAAGGGCCCAGAGGAGTGCGTGCGCACAGGCGACTTGGTTCGGGGGGCCTATCTCCAGGGAGGGAGCCATGGCCTTAGGGTTCCCAGCAGCCCCTGACCCCTCACCTCTCCCCACAGGCTTTGTCCTCTGCCCACTGGGGGTGGTGAGGCACAGGATGACAAGAGGGCTATTACAAGCCCCCCAACTGCAGGCTGGAGGTGGGGTGCAGGAGCCTTCCTGAGCATGCGGGCCCAGGGCTGGCAGGTCCAGCCAGAAGCACTCTCACAGGGGTCCTCCCTTCCCACCCCTGGCCTCAGTGCCCAGGACAGAATTCTGTCCCTAGGAAGGGCCCCAGGTGGACTCCCCAGCATCCTGCTGGTAACCAGAGGACTTTGTGCTTCCAGAGCCATGAGTGACATCGGGGACTATGTGGGCTCCAACCTGGAGATATCCTGGCTCCCCAACCTGGACGGCCTGATGGATGGCTATGCCCGCAACTTCCGGCCGGGCATTGGAGGTGAGAGTGGTCACCAGGGCCACAGCAGACCGTGCGGCCCAACTGTGGATGTGAGCCCCGCTGGGCTCTGGGCTGGTACCCGAGGGGTATGACAGACCTGTGGCAGTAGCCCCCAGGGAGATGGGTGGGAAGGTGACCTCAGGCCTCCTCACAAGACCTCTGGCTGCTCCCTGGTCTTGCCTGCCTGGCTTCTGTGGCATGAGAGCCTGGCCTGGCCTGGCCGTGCGGCTGGGGGGGCTGGGGCCTGACCTCAGCCCCACCCCCTGGGGCCTTGGCCCTTCTCCATAGGCCCCCCGGTGAACGTGGCGCTTGCCATTGAGGTGGCCAGCATCGACCACATCTCGGAGGTGAACATGGTAGGTGCCAGGCAGCTTCACCCCTTCTGGCCGAGTGCCCCGGGAGAGGAGTGGGGCTGACATCTCACCGCCCCCTGCAGGAGTACACCATGACGGTGTTTCTGCACCAGAGCTGGCGGGATGGCAGGCTGGCCTATAACCACACCAACGAGACGCTGGGCCTGGACAGCCGCTTTGTGGACAAGCTCTGGCTCCCAGACACCTTCATCGTGAATGCCAAGTCCGCCTGGTTCCATGATGTGACTGTGGAGAACAAGCTTATCCGGCTGCAGCCAGACGGGGTGATCCTCTACAGCATCCGGTGAGCCCAGTGCCCGGGGCGCCTGCGGGGAGCTGGGGCCGCGTTCCTTATCCCACCCAAACAACAGCTACTTAGGAAACACCCACTGCAAAGGCTGGGGACGGGAAGCTGGCCGAGGTAGCTCTCTGGCCAGCACAGAGCCTTGCTGCTTTTCAAACTGGGTGAAATTCACATAACAAACCTAACCATGTTAAAGTGAACAATCTGCTTTCTGTCCATGGAATGGCCTTTTCTGCACATTTCATATAAAATGAATTGCACACTGTGTGACCTTTGCTTCTGGCTTCTTCAGCTCTGCATGTTTCTGAGGTTCATGTGCTTGTAACTTTTATCAGAACCTCTTTCTCTTTTATGGCCAAGTAGCATTCCACTGCATGCAGCCGCCTACCGAGAGACACTGGCTGTTTCTACCTTCTGGTTTTGTGAGTCTTGCTTCTGTGGACATGCATGTAACATGTATTTGTTTGAACATGTGTTTTCTGACACATGCCTTTAAAAATGGAATTAAGTGCCAACATTTAAAAAATCAGGAGATTCACATAAGAATCTAAATTCTCTTGGCAAGTGAGAACACTTGGCCACCTGGGCCCTCCCAGGGAGCATGGTCATCGGGAATGCCTAGGAGCCAACCCTTCGGGCAGGCTGGGGTCCTCACAAAGACCCACAGTACCTGTGACCTTACCCCAGGGTTCAGCTCTCACCTGGATGCCGGCACCTTGCCGGCAAAGCCTGAGAGGTGGCCCCTCTGGGTAGGGCAGGGGGTGGGGAGCCAGCCTCCCGTGGGGACCTCACCGGCATGCTGTCCGGGCAGAATCACCTCCACGGTGGCCTGTGACATGGACCTGGCCAAGTATCCCATGGATGAGCAGGAGTGCATGCTGCACCTGGAGAGCTGTGAGTGTCCCCGGGGCCCAGGGTGGGGGTCTGCTCCAAGCAGGTCACGTGGCTTCTCCAGTGGCATTGGTGTAGGAGGCCAGGGCACTCAGGCTGCCAGGGACATAGAGGCTGGTCTGGCTTGGGGGCAGGGGTGTCTGGGACACGGCATCCCTGGAGCAGGAAGCCTGGCCCTCCTCCCACCGGCCAGTGCCTTGCCCAGGACAGCCAGGTATGGAGCCCAGACAAGGCACGTATCTGTCCTTGGGCCAGTGTGGCAGCCCCTGGTGGTCATTGGCGACGGTGACCTGCACTTTGCTGGGTCTTCTGGTTGCGTCCATCTGCCCGAGGTGCTGGGCGTGGCCCCAGGCCTCTCGCTCCTGGCTGGGTCTTCCTGGGCTGCCCCCTTCTGCTGTCTCGGACTCCCCTCAAGGACAGGATGCTCCCGTTGCGGGATGCCAGGAGCTGGGGGCGCCAGGCTCTGCTGCCCACCCATGGGCTCTCCTGCAGATGGCTACTCATCCGAGGACATCATTTACTACTGGTCCGAAAACCAGGGACAGATCCATGGGCTGGATAAGCTGCAGCTGGCCCAGTTCACCATCACCAGCTACCGGTTTACCGCTGAGCTGATGAATTTCAAATTGGGTAACTTGCCTTCTTATGACCTCTTCCCGGGGAAGAGTACATGGCTTTCTGGTGCTTTTAAATGAGCCATCACCGGCTCTGGGGGCCACTGAGGATGCAGCTGAACAGCCGATGGGCACAGACTGCACCCGGCCAAGGGACTGCTGACGGGCCGCCTCGCAGGTGTGGGTCAGGTTCTCCAGCACACTCGTTACCCCTTTGCTGCTTCCTGGGGGCCAGCAGCCCTCAGGGCTTGGGGGGAACCCGAGGGGGGGACCCAGGACTGTGGGGGCTCAGGGGTGCCCTGGCCCCTCCTGCCCAGCCCTGCCCTCTTCTGGAACTTGGAGGGTCCGGGCACAATCCCTCAGGCTGTGTCGGGGAGAAGGGGCAGGAGGGGTTCTAGGGTCTGCCCTCCATGGAGGCCTCGGACGGTGCATGGCGGGCCGGGGGCCAGGTCCTAGTGGCAGCTCCCCGCAGCCGGCCAGTCCCCCCGGCTCAGCCTGCACTTCCACCTGCGGAGGAACCGAGGCGTCCACATCATCCAGTCCTACATGCCCTCCGTCCTCCTGGTCGCCATGTCCTGGGTCTCCTTCTGGATTAGCCAGGCAGCGGTGCCCGCCAGGGTGTCTCTAGGTACGAGGCCCTGGCTTCTCCCCCGAGGGAGCCGGTGGAGGAGTGGGAGCCAGGAGCCACAAGCCCAGACCCTGCCCTCTGGCCCCTTGCGCCCACTGCCCTGGGGGGTGGCCAGCCAGGCCGGGCCTGGGCAAGGGGCCTGACCTGCACCTGGGCTGGGCGGGGCAGAGGTGGGGAGATGCAGGGGCTCTAGCGGCGGCCCCACGGCTCCTACCAGGCATCACCACGGTGCTGACCATGACCACGCTGATGGTCAGTGCCCGCTCTTCCCTCCCGCGGGCGTCGGCCATCAAGGCGCTGGACGTGTACTTCTGGATCTGCTACGTCTTTGTGTTTGCCGCACTGGTGGAATACGCCTTTGCCCACTTCAATGCTGACTACCGGAAGAAGCCAAAGGCCAAGGTCAAGGTCACAGAACAGAGAGCGGAGGTGAGGCTGAGCTGGGCTGGGTCCCTCGTATTCGGGACCAGAACAGGTCCCCCCCCGCCCACTTCACCCCGGGCTTGGAGGGACAGCATGGTGGGGGCCCCTTCTTTCTCGGCCCCTGCAGGACCCTCTGCAGGCCGCTCTGGGGAGGCCATTTGCAGGCCCTGGGCTCAGGACACCAGGCCTGGCTCCTCAGTCCTTACCCACAATACGTCGTGGTGGCACCTGCTGGCCCAGGCCAGCAACGCCTGCTCAGCCCACCTCCTCCTCCCTGTGCAGATGGACGTGAAGAACGCCATCGTGCTCTTCTCCCTCTCAGCCGCTGGTGTCACCCAGGAGCTGGCCGTGTCCCGCCGGCACTGCCGAGCACCTGGGAACCTCATGGGCTCCTACAGGTCTGTGGAGGTGGAGACTGGGGAGACCAAGAAGCCAGGGGCACCCTGTGCAGGGGCCCAGGGAGGCCTCCGCGCGCTCTTCAAACCCATTGACGCGGACACCATCGACATCTACGCCCGTGCCGTGTTCCCCGCGGCCTTTGCTGCTGTCAATGTCATCTACTGGGCGGCATACACCCTGTGAGGCTGGACTGCAGGCCTCGCATCCCCGCTGCCCGACGCACCCTGGTGCTGTCGGCGGATGACACCAGGCCACGTGAGCGAGAGGAAAGACTTACCTCCTTAAGCACCCCCGGCCTCTGCCCCCACCCCATGTGGACACCACCTGGGACTGTCCTGGGCGCCCCTCCTGCAGATGCCCCAGTTCCTCCTGCCGGCAGCAGAGCCCGCCTGGCCCTGGGGCCCTTCTGGAGCCCAGCATCCGATTTGGAAGACGATCCGGTTCTAGCCTCCTCTCAGTGTGCCTGGGACTTGGGGCAGATGGACGGTGGAGGGGGTGATCATGGGCCTTTGGTCCCAGCATGAAATAAAACAAAGCCTCTGGAAGCTGCTCACATTCTGTGTCTGCAGCCTGGAGACTCCCCTCCGGGTTGGCGCTTGCCATGTGGCCACGTCCAGGGACACTGGTGGGAGGGCAGAGGTGTGGGCCCTGGAGGGGCTTGGGGAGTCAAGCCCCATCTCTTGGACCCACGGCCGGGGTGCCATTATGGGGCCCTCTCCCATGGGGCAACAGGAGAACCAAGGCCACTGAGTCCCACAAGCCGGCCCTGGCCCGCCTCTGCTGCCACCTGGGTGTGGGGTGACAAGGTTGCCATGCGGGATGTGACAGGGCTGTCGGCCATTGGAGATCTGACAGGCAGGTCTTAATAAGGGGGTCCAGGTTTTCCATGGCACCGAAGCGAAGCAAGTCATTATACCAGGAAGGAGAGACACGTGATTCTAGGCGCAGCTGCAGGGCTTGGCTGTGGGCTGCGGAGTCTGCAGTGTTGGACCCCCACAAGGTTGACCATGGCCCTGTTGCTGCTTGGTGGCCTTCCAGGGGTCCCCAACTCAAGCCACCCCAAGGGGAGCATGAGGGTGACTTTGTGTGAATCAGAAAGGGTGTCCACTGGGCCACCTGCCCTTTCCTAGCAGCCTGGGCCATCGGGGGCAGAGTGCTGGAGGCAGGGCTTAGCTGGCAGAGTGACCACTGAGGTCCAGCTGTGCCAGCCCAGGGGTGCAGGGCCCAGCTGCCTCCCGGAGAACAAGGCCATGTGCGAGGACAGAGGAGGCATTGACCCCCTGCCCAACCACAGCTGAGGCTCACCACCTCCCCTTCACCTCCAGCCGGAGGGCCCTTGCCTCCTACAGACCCCTGCCAGCATGGGGCTGCCCCCTTGGGCCTCTGCTGCAAGAACTAGGCTTCAGGGCTTGGCAGAGCTGTCCCTGGAGCCAGTGTGACCAAGAGTGGCCCAAGATCTGCCCCTGGGAGCCAGCAGGGAGCAGGTGGCCGAGGAGCAGCCGAGCTGGGATCTGGGGCAGCTGGGGCCCCAGCTGCCTCTGGACGGGGGAGGGCGGCCAGTTCCACAGAGGAGGACAGTGACATGGCCCCTTGCTCCCCTCCCGCACTTCGACTTTCTCCGGTCTGCGTGACCCCCTGCAGGGTCATTACTCTCCACTCCCAGGAACCCAGAGAGCCACCCTGGCAGCTGGGAGTCCAAGCCACTGAACTGGGCCCACCCCAACCCTCGTGCTGGAGGCACCCAGCACCCAGGGCCAGCTCCATCCCTCAGGCCCCTGGGGGTGCAGAGGCTGGGCCAACCCCCGTGCTGCCAGGACCCCGCCCCTCCCCACACCTGCCTTCCCTGCCGCTTGCAGGCTGCCCTCTTCCTGCTGTGCGAGCCCACGAGGAGCTATTTAAAGGCGGCCTTTGTGACTGCGTCAGGCACCCACGCAGTGAGCCCACCCGGCAGGAGCCTTCACTGGATCCCACAACCCACAGTCGCTCCCTCCAGCCTGCAGGCTGCTATTTCTGCCCACGTATTTACAGGGCCGGGGAAAAGGGACTTGAAGAGTGGATGCTTTGAAAGCTGAGTTCTATTCTGGGGTGGTGGCACATGCGGATTGAAAGCAGGCTGGCTGTGTCTTGCACAGATCAAGGTGCAGCTGAGAGGAGCTGGCTAGGAAGGGGAGCACCTGGGCCCCGTGGGTGGGGAGGCCTGGCTCCATACCCACCTCATTCTGGCAGGGACAGAATTTTGGGGGGAGAGGGGCTGGTTTCCTCCTTGTCCATTTTCTCTGGCAGAGCCTGGAATGTGTGTGTCCAAACAGACTCCAGAATGGTTCCCCAAAGCTGGGACAGCCCTTCCCCAAGGCCGGAGGAGCCAGGGGTCAGGGAGGGTGCCCGGCCTCCACGGGCAGGGCCAGCGCTGACCGTGCCGGGGCACCTGCGGGGCAGCACTTGGATTCCTTCAGAAGCAGAGCCCAGGACAAGGACTCGGGTGCAGGGAGTTTAGTGGGGGGTGGGGCAGTAATTAGTTTCCTAGGGCTGCCGACACAGCACCACAGACTGGGGGCTTGGCAGCAGAAATCCACCCTGTCCCAGTCGGTGGCCAGACACCCAAGGTCCCAGCGCAGGTAGGGCTGGTTCCTTCTGAGGCTGAGGGAGAATCCGTCCCAGGCCCCCCAGGTCCTGGTGCCACTGCGATCCTGGTGCTGCCTAGCTTGGAGCTGGGTCACCCCAGTCTCAGCATCACCTGGTGTTGCTGTCCGTGTGCCCCTTCCTTATAAAGGCACCTGTCATTGGATTTAGGGTCCCCTAAGCCAGTATGATTTCATCGTAGCCAATTACAGCTGCAAAGACCCTATTTCCAAATAAGGACCCATTCTGAGGTTCTAGGTGGACTTGGATTTTGGGGGACAGCACAGGGGGTGACACCCCAGAAGCAGAAGCATGGAGGTTGTGGCACACGCTTTGTCCCACTGCATGTCCCTGACCAGCACTGCTGCTCGGTGCAGAGACCAGATCCTGGTCTCCAGGGCAAGCTCCAGGCACCTTGCCAGGTGAGCTGCAGAGCCCACTTGGTGCCCACTGGGTGCTGAAGCCCGGGTGGTGAATCCTACAAAGGTGAAAAAGAAGTGCACAGCTCGGATCTCTGGCCTGGGAGGACTCTGCTCACCCTTGCTGTCTGCTCGCCCTTGAGTGGGGCCAGGGGTACAATGGTCCACTGCCACCTTTGGCTGACATTGAGCTGGCACATTCACGAACCAGGATGGAGGTGACTTTTCCTCTGTCACTTGGTTGTAGGGACCGCAGGGTCATGTGAGTCCACAGGTTTGAGCTGAGGAGGAGGTACCCATGACCTGGGCACCTGGGCCACCCTTTATGTAAGGTGACTCTCCAGACTCACTCAGGCCCCAATGGCCCATCCCCACCATCTGCTGGACAGCTGCCATGGCCACCTGGCTGTCCCCAACTCATGGTTATGGGTGCATTGCCCTGCCAGTCCAGGGCCCCAGCCTGGTCACACACAGGGAGCTAGCTGCCTTTCCCAGGCTGCACAGCTCCTTGCAGGGGGAGCCCTGGTCCACAGCCCTGGTGCCCGCCTGCGACTCTCTCCAGCCAGGTTTGCCAGAGATTCCACATGGCTTCAGCACTGACCGGGTGTGAGCATGGGATGTCCAGAGCAGAAGGCCCAGCAGCAGGGAGGCTGACCTCCCCCCTGGGCCCACCCAGAGATGGCGCCACCTCTGGGAAGGTTGCCCCCACGATTCAAAGAAACACACAGACCCTGTGCACTACCCCCCTGATCTTGCAGCGAAGGCACCAGCAGGATCCCGTCCCCTGTACCCCTAAGAACATCCCCGATCTGACTGAGCCCGGAATTCTTAAAGGGTTTGTCTTTCCCCTGGCAATCTCACGAGGACACCCAGAGTTCTTGCCACTTTCCAATCACCGGGCCCATGCATGTGACATCCCCAGTCAGCAGATCGGCCAGATCTTCTCCCGATGCCAGGTGATGGAAGCCCTGTGGCTGAATCGTCAGGTGTGGAGAGCTGGCAGGGCCCGAGGGCAGTGCAGTGGGTGTGGGCCGCTGTGTCCAGTCCTCACCCAGGGGGTGGACATCAGCACGCTGGCTGGCTCTGCTCGCGGCAGAGGCTGCATTCAGCCATGACGGCATTCCCAGCACAGCGCAAGTGGAATCGCTACCGGGTAAAGTGAACCGTAGCTCCGCCGCCTCAGGTCAGGTCCCAGCTCACACAGGTGAACTGAGGGGGGTCTGAGAGGCCCAGCCTCCTGCCTCCTCTGCCTTTGAGGCTCGCATGGACGCGCGCAGTCCCACCTGGAACGAGGCGCCCCTCCGCGTTGCTGTCTGCTAGGGGACGAGGACAGCCTCGGGTTTGGGTCGGTCTTTTCTATCACAATAGCTCTTCCTCCAGGTCAGGGAAACAATGATGAGATTCTGGCTGTTGCCAAGTCCTGTCCCATTGCAGCTGAGGAGCAGGGTGAGCGCAGGATGGGTCCCCGGACCCGCTGAACCGGCTCTGAGATGGACATGGGCCAGGACGCCAATTGTCACTTGGCATCTGTCTCACCAGTGGGTTTCCATCCCAGACAAGTTCACTCGATTTGGTGGGACCGAAAAATGACAGTGGAATGTTCTTGGGGTGATAGGGTCTCTACCCAAGTTTATTCCCATTCCCACAGTGGCAGGTCAAGCACAGAATCCTGTCTGCCTCAGAGGGAGTCTGCACGCAGCAAGCTAGTTTCTGCCTCTGGGCCTCTCTGCCCCGCAGCCGTCTCAGTCTCTGTCCCGGGCACTGCCACCACTCCCGCCTCTGCTCTCCTGCAGCCGTGCAGCCCAGAGCCCTGGGCGGAGCTCTTTATATAGAGTCAATAATAATGCATTGCCCACAGGTGTGCAGTGAGCGAGCCCACTAGGGCCAGGCGAGAATCCTGGCCACAGGAACCTTCATTTTCTCTGCAGTGTCCAGACGCCATCATGCCAACAGGGGCCAGCTCTGCCATTTCGGGTCCCTTGGTATCATTGTCACTCAGACCGCACATCCAAAAGTCCTTCAAAAGTGGGGTGTCCTTCCTGTAGCATACAGTCGCTCTGACAAGCGGCAGCAGGGAAAGGGTGGGGGAATACTTAGCACACAGCGGTGTGAGCTGCCAGGACCCTCCTCAGCCACAGTGCCTGGGCTGCAGAGCCGGAAACAAGGCACCGCAGTTTTCTGTTCTTCCCACCTGACTGTCATTCGAGTCAAGCTGCACCTGTCGGCTGCTCATCGACCAGGGACACCATGAGCCCAGCACTACGGGTTCCCGTGTGTCAGGGCGCCTTGATTTGCAGGACGTTCTGCCTGTTACCCAGCTGTGCCTGCCTTGCCTCTAATGGTTCTGGGCAGTCACCTCTACTGCTTCAGAACCCACGGTGGCACTTCTGGCAGCACTGGCCATACGGCAGCCCACTGGGGCCGGCCTCTCCTGGTGCTTTAGTGACAGGCTGTCTTTGAGGCCCTCCCAGGCCCAGCAGGTGGTGGTTCTGGGGACTCGGTCCCGT